CTTTAGAAATCATCTGGCCCATCTGGCCATCCTTGCTCTTTACTAAAGGGAAACTGAGGCCCAGAGAGAGGAGGGACTGTGGCCTAGTTCACACAGCATCAGTGACAGAGACAGGACTAGAACTGGGGTCTTCGTGACTTCCCTGACAGTTTAGGCACGGGCCACTTTCTGGGGAGGCAACAGGGGAGAGGAAAAGGAGAGGGGGAAGGCAAGAAGGGGTGGGGGCCTGGGGACAGGCAGACGAGAGGTATGTGGGGCCCAGCCACTCGCTGATAAGAGACCGACAATGCCATTCCAAAGGGATATTTTATCAAGATGTAATTTTTCCCGCTGCAGACACTATTTTCTTTCTCGTGCAGACTGTGCTGGCCTCCGCGATAAGGCGCCTAGACATGTTCACACTAAGGCAGCCAAAACATGAGGCAGGAGGAAAGAAATTCCCTTCTTAGTCTCCCCCCACCCGAGTCTACTCCCCCCTCGTTTCCTCTCATTCTCTCCAAGTTCTCATGCCCCCCCACCCCCAGCTGGCTGGCCCCTTCCTGCCTTCCCGTAAGTCAGCCCAATGGAGTCAGGAAGGTATGTGGCCAGCGCAGGTCAAAGGAGAGGAGCACGGAGGGGCGTCCCCTGAGAAAAGAGGCCCCGGCCAAGGCTGTGTGGGGCGGGCAGGTGGGGGTGGGGCCTGGTGCCTTCACCCACAACCCTGGTCTTGGAGCAGAGCACGGAACTTGCTCTGGTTTGGGAGTTTAAGCTGCAGGTGATTAGGGCCTCCCCCAACTGCAGATTTTCTACTTCCTGACCTCCTAATCCATAGGTTGATGGGGATTCCTGGGGTGGGGGGCTATCCTGCCTCCTTCCATGTAAAGACCCCCAGACTGAAGAGATCTGGCCGGGGAGGAGATCTGGGATCCTGACCCAACAAATCTACCAGTCACTCACTGTTGGTCTAGTCCCTTCTGCTCTCTAGACTCTCTAGGCCTCAGTTTCCCCAATTGCCCATGAAAGGGATTGGACTCAGATACCTTGGCCTTGAAATTCTCCCTCTGGCTTTTTTCAGAAGATGATAGAACACATCCCAGGCATCCTGGGTACTTGGCGAGTGGACTGCATGGCTCCCATGCATCTGTACCCCGCCCCTGCTCTGCTCAGGAAGCCCACCCCGCCCTCCACATCTGGATGGAATTTACCCCCCAAGGCAACTCAATTACCAGCGATCTGATCAGGACGGCTCATGTGTCAGAGGGGGCCCTGGTGAAGGTTGTTCTGCCAGAGATGGGGGTTCCTGGGCCTGCAATTCTCCACCCGTCTCACTGCCCAGGGGACCTTCCTGAGGTCCCTGGGGAGATGGGGTCCAATGAGCCATGTCCTGCTCTTATCCTCTTAGCAAGGGGAAGGGACCCTGAGAAGCTGTCCCCTGCTCCACTGGCTTAGGGCCCCAATTCCAAGCCCTGAATCAGGGCATGGAGGGAGGCTGGAGTGTGAGGGATGATGGCGTATAAATATTACACCCCCTGGCCCACCAAGCGCCCCACCAAAGGAGTCTGCACAAGGTGGTGCCCTCCTGACTTCTGTCCGCATTCTGAACCCGAGCAGAGCAGGGAGCCTGGGTGGTAGGGCCGGCAGGTGAGTGGGGCTTTGGGCGAGTGCTGTGTCTTGGTAAGCCCTCCTTAGGGAGTCAGGATCATCCTGCTGTCTTCCTGTGGCTTCTGCCAAGTTGGCGAGTGGGCTTTGGGGCTTCCTGTGTCTTTACGTCTCCACTCGACGCCTCTTATTCCACACCCGTTGTTCAAGTGCTGCTTTCTTGGATGTAGCACCTTCTTGCTGCCCCCACCCCTCGGCGTCAGCATGCACGGGAGGGTCACTGAGCCCAAAGTGCTGGGCCGGAGTGTGCTGTGCTGACTGGATCTCCACCATTTGGGTCCATGCAGTGACTTCCTGGGAGTGGGAGACCACCAGGTCACCTATGAACGGGTGAACTGGCCGGGATCAGAAACAGAGTGGCTCAAAACCCTCAAGCTCATCAGCCGTAGGGTCCCACCTGTGCACCTTCACTGCCCTCCAGGCGACACCACGGTCCGGGGGTCCACGAAGGCTGGGTAGAGCCTCCCAGGCTGTGGAAGCAGCTCACACACACCTGCGGACACCCTCTTCCTTCCACCTGAGAGTCCAGCCAGGGCCACCTTAGCGTTCGATGCAGGCAGTACTCACTAATGCAAGTTCAGAACAAGGCCCTGTGCCTGTCGCTGCTGCAGGGAGAAGGAAAGCCTGAGGCCGAGTCTCACTCCTCCAGGGGCTCGCGCTGTCGCTGGGGATAGAAAACACAGGCCCCAGGGCCAGTCTGTGCAGCAGGTTAGAGCACAGGCTGGAGCCAACAGCCACACTTGGGTACCCGCTGAGCCACTGACAGGCTGGGGGGGCTTTGGGCAAACAGTTCAGTCTCCCACCCAGCCTCATGTGGTTGTCACGAACGAGCATGTGACACATGTGAAACCCTCAGTGCCGTGCCCGGCACAGAGTAAACGCTCCACGAAGGGCAGTTTTATTTGTATTTTGTGAAATAATTGACATCTGGATGATAACTTTGCACCTACCTGGGAGATTTCCTAATGCTGAGCCCAGCCCAGAACTCCTAGGCAGCCCCGCTTCTAAAAAGGCCTCAAGCTGTCACCAGTGGAGAGGTCCACATCTGTGCACGTCTGTGCACCAATGCCCATAGACCTTCATCATCGGTGAACTGGCGAGGAAGTGGAAGGGACAGCTGTGAGCGTGGCCCGGGGAAGGGCTGCCCGGAGGCCCGAGGGGGTGGCCAACACGGGTGGAGATTCTGGGGTGGGGAGGAGGGCGGACATGAAGGGGGCCAGGCTCACAGGGGTACTGAATCTCCTCTATCCCCCTGGGTGGCGTGGGGCACTGCTGTCGGTCCCCTGTGGGGTGTCGGGACAGAAGGGCTTCCTCAGAAGCTGGCTGCAGGTGCGGGTACAGGTTACGCCGGGGCCACCCGTAGGCAAGGAGGCGGGTCAGGGCCTGCTGGGACCCAGACAGGCTTTAATGCCAGGATCCAGCCACAGCATGAAATTCCAGACGGGGAAATCACCACGTCCTGCGTGAAGCCCCTCTCACATGCTTTATGTCACGTGGTCTTCACGGTTCAGTGCAACGGTTATCTCTGCTTCCCAGGTGAGAGGCTGTGTGCTCGGAGAAGGGCCCTCACGCAGCTTGTTAGTGGCCGGGCGAGGCCAAGAACTCGGGTCTCCTGCTCCAGTATCAGTGCTCCTTTCATGGCGGGTCTGGGGGTGTCTGCCTGGTGGGGCCAGGAGAGTGACTGTCATTAGATGCAGAGACATTCAGGGCAATGGGCTGCTGGGCAGTCTTGGGGCCCAGGGCTGGGGCCAAGCATTGAGTGAGCCCCCCGAGGGTCACACACGCCGGCTGGGGACCAGCCCCTCCGCTGAACACCGGTGTGGCTGGGGAAGCACCGGAACCTCTCTGAGCCTCAGTTGCCCTCAAATGGGGACAACTGTGGCACCGACTGCAGGCTGTGCCGGTGAGGATGGAGGCTCTTGTCGTGCTGCAGCGCGGGGAGGGCATGGGCTTGTCCCGCAGTGACGGCTGCAGCTGGGTACTGGCACGGCTTGCGCGCGGCAGGGCCTCGGTCAATATCATCCTGGTGCATCGTTTGCACTGTGCTAACCACCGAACAGACGGACCTTAGCCAGCCAGGGGCCAGGACTGAATTCTGACACGAGAGGGGAGCTGAGGCTGCCTCTGGAGGATGAGCGGACACCTCGGGGACACCGCGCAGACCAGGAGGAAGGGGCCCTGACTGGAGGCAGTGGGGACAGCTCAGCGGCAGAGCCACGCCAACAGGCACAGGTTCAGAAGATCCGGGTTCTATGTTCTGTTCTGTTGTCGTCTTGCTGTGTGACTCTGGCCGAGGCCTGGCCCTCTCTGGGCCTCTATTTTTGTTCCCAGAGGACAGATGGGGGGCAGAGGGTGACTGGGAGCTGAGCTGTCAGGGAGGGAGGCTCCTGCACCTGAGGCCTCCAGGCCTGTTGGGATCTGCCGGCCCGAAGGGGATTTCCTGGGGCCGGCCCAGTTCCCAGCCCTGCTGACGTCGCCGCTGGATGGGTGCCCAGAGCTGCACTCCAGGGGAAAGGCAGGCGGGCACGCTCCCAGCCCACATGCCGGCCCTCCCTCTGGGGCCCTGGGGTCTCCCCGCCTCCACCCCCAGGTGAGGAAGTGGGGGATCCCTCCTGTTGAGAGAAGACAGCACTCTCTCTTGGCCCAAGATCCCGACTTGCTGTGTGACCTCAGGCAAGTTCCTGCCCCTTTCTGGGCCCTGGCCCTGGGTCTCTGCAAGAGATGTCCCAGCTCTTTTGGAACTCTAACCCTCTGGGATCCGACTGGGGCCTGGGGTCCTGGGAACGGGAATGGCGTGGGGGGCTGGATTCCGGGGACTGGCTTCCCGCCCTAGCGCAGAAGGGGGTGGCAGTGGGGGCGTGCCGTGGGAGAAAAGGAGCCCCACGTCCTCCAGGTGGCTCCGAGAGAAGGCGAGACAAGCCTGAGCTTTTAGACACATATTTACTTTTAAGTGTCCTGTGTCACGGGGGGCTTTCTCTTTGGGTTTTGAAACGCTCCAGAAGTCAGCGCTCTGCGCGCCTATGTTTGCCGAGCAGAACATGGGCTGTATTTATTCATCCTTTAGCCCGAGCCCTTAAAAATATAGACGGCTAATGTCTTCAGTATGTATGAAATATCCCATATGCTCGGAAACAAAAGGGGCTCTGTTATTAAAGTTTCATTTCCACACGCCCCCTCCCCTCCCTCCCGCCCGCCCCCCTGACACCCTGCCCTCCTCCCGTCCCGCTCAGCCTGCTCGAGACAGAGCGCGACTGAGGCGGCAGCGGGCAGGCGGCGGGCAGCGGGCAGCCGCGGACGGCCGGGGCCGGGGCGCAGCCGGGCCCTGTGTCAGTGGGTGCCGTGTCCGGCTCCAGGTGAGGGGGCGACCTCGGGGAGAGAGACCGGCGTCTTCCAGGGCACAGGGGCCTCGGGGGCCCCGGGATGGCCAGCGGGAGAGTGGGGGTGGAGGTGGCCCTGCTTGTGGGCGCCTGTGGGGCCGGGGCCCTGGCAGGGCCCGGCTGTCTGGGACGGAAATGCCCGCTCTGCTGCTAACTGAAACCACATGTGTCTCCCAGGCAGCGGGGCAGACACGCCGCCAAGCCTGGGGCTGGGGACCGGGGGAGGAAAGATGCGGGCCGGCCCGGCCTCGTGCCCCGGGCGGGTGAGGGGCCATGCAGGAGGGCTTGGGGTCACTCTCATGGGTGCAAGCGAGAGTGTGTCGGAGAGTGTGAGCGGGCGCCTGAGTCCCACGTGTGCGCACGCCGTGCGAGTGCGTGCGCGTTTGTGTCTGTGCGTGAGCCCGTCTGCAGGTCCGGTGTCCCTGCTCGCTGTGGTCTCCCTCTTGGCCTCCTGTGGCCAGAGCCCTCGGGGGACTCCTGCTGTCACCCAGAGCTTGGGGCCGCCTGGCCGCCTCCTGGGAGGGTCCCCTGGGGTGGGGAGACGGTCCTCACCAAGCTGAGACTCCCCATGGCCACCATCGTCCTCTGTTCCTTCTCCTCCAGCCCAGCTCCGTCTCTGGCACCTGCACATCCGCTCCCCACCTCCCAGAGGGGCACGCTGGGAAGTAGAGTGGGGAGGTGGTAACGTCCCTTCTCCCACATCTGTTTCCATCTTTTCGGAGTAGTCACCTCCGGGAGCTGGGCATTGTCACCGTAGCCCTGGAAGGTAAGAAAACCGAGCCTGAGCGCGGGGACAGCTTGGCTGTGGCCATCAGGGAGATGGTGGTGGGGCTGTCCAGACCCATCCAGGGGGCTCAGAAGACGCCGGGCCATGGGGTCGGCCTTGGGGAAAGGCCAGAGGCCACACTCTCAGGTCCTATGGCAAATGAGGCCCCCTCCAGCACTCAGGTGATCTGAGTCCTGGGTTGTCTCTCCCTAAAGAATGAGCCCTGCTGGCAGCCAGGCCCTGGGTTCCTGTGCCGGCCCTGCCACTTTCTTGCTGTGGATGTTGGACAGGTCTCATCCCACCTCTGGGCCTCAGTTTCCCTGTCCCTATAATGGCAAGGTTGGGCCAGGATAAGCCTTCCCAAAACGTGGTGTGCATACCTCTGGCGGCTCATGGACGGGTGCCACGTGGATAGCTTGGGTGTTGGTTTTACCTGCATTAGGGAAAGATGTATAAATAGCATATCCAATGAATAAAGGTCTAATCGCCCCAAAGGAATGAAAGCTGGGACCAGTAGAAGACCCCTGGGTCCTGTCCATTGACAATGGGCTTCCACCATTTTAAAAGGCTTATTAGCATGTTGGTTCTGGCTGTCCAGGGCCCGAGGATGTGAGCTGCTGTGTAGACCATCTTTCGGCCCCTGCAAACTAGCAGCCCTATAATTCTGTGATTACAGAGTGGGAAGCCCAGTTGCCACCTTGGGCTGTGTGTGGGCTGTGTGTGGTGTGTGTGTGTGTGTGCGTGCGCGCGTGTGCACACGCTGTGTGTGCCATGTGGGAGGGGGCCGGGACAGAATGGGCAAAGCTGGGGAAAATATCAGCCTAGCCCACATAAGGACAGGATGGCCAAGGTCAAGGGCAGGGAGTTTGGGAAAGAGATTCGTCTCCTCACTGACATTCTCAAGTGCTTTGTCTGGCCTCAGCCTCACTCTGAATCACCGGAGTAGGGGCGTAGGCGGGAGGCCACCCTGGCCTTGGCCTTTCCTGCCATTCAGCTCTGGCTTGTGGCCACTTGGCTGCATTTTATCTGCCAGCCCGGGACTGGCCCGGGAGGGGTGCACTGGGAGGATGCAGGGGTTTGGGGGGATCCCCTTGGCCGAGCTCCCCAGTGACTTCTCCGGGCTGGGCTGGTCAGTGCTGGCATCCTTGGGGACATACCCCTCACCGTCCCCTTCCTGCGTGTTTGCTGTTGCCGTTACTGTTAACTGTGACGGTAAGTGCTTCTGTGGGGATATTCCTGGGTGATTTGCCTTATCAGCAACTATTAGGGAAGCCTGACCCGGCTCTGTTGCAAGAAGTGCAGCTTCCAGGGTTGTTCTTTCCTGTCTCAGCCTGCAGCTGGCAGAGGGTACCGAGCTTTGGCTCAAGGATGTGGACAGTGTCCTTGGGTGGGGATGAACTCATGGCCCCTTCTTGGGGAGGCAGCAGGTGCAGAGGAAGGAGCCCAGGGCTGGGTCCATCGAGCCCTGACACTAACGTGCTGTGCGACCCTAGGCGAGCTCCTTGCCCTCTCTGGCCCTCCTCTTCTCTACCCCAGAGCTTGTCCTTGATGAGACTGAAGTGATTCTCCAGCTCTGCCCTAGAGAGGAGCAACATCCTACTTCTAGGGGATTCTTTTTTTTTTTTTTTTTTTTGAGACAGTCTCACTTTGTTGCCTAGGCTAAGAGTGAGTGCCGTGGCGTCAGCCTAGCTCACAGCAACCTCAAACTCCTGGACTAAGCAATCCCTGCCTCAGCCTCCCGAGTAGCTGGGACTACAGGCATGCGCCACCATGCTCGGCTAATTTTTTTCTATATGTATTAGTTGGCCAATTAATTTCTATTTATAGTAGAGATGGGATCTCGCTCTTGCTCAGGCTGGTTTCGAACCCCTGACCTCAAGCAATCCACTCGCCTTGGCCTCCCAGAGTGCTAGGATTACAGGCGTGAGCCACCACGCCCGGCCATAGGGGATTCTTGTTCTTACAGAAAGGTGCCCTTTTTTTATGGGGAAGAACTCTGTGAGTTTGTGGGTCGGGCTCCCTACAGCGGGGTGGGCCCCGTGGAATCTTCTCCTTGGGATACTCCTTGGGTCTAGGTGTCCGTGAGGCCTAGGCCAGCTGTCTCAACCCCTAGGAAAGCAACTGGCCAGGGGCAGAGGCACAGTCCCTGCCTGCAGAACTCGTCGCAGCCTAACTGGCCTTCAGTGTCCTTATGGGTCCTGCTGAACCACTAGTAGCTACACCCAAGGCCCAGGGCAAACAGAGTCCTGCTTCAGGATGCTCTGGGCAGCTGTACGGGCATCGTTACAGAGAGACCCGCCCGACCTGGGGGTGGGAGGTGGCACATGAACTTAAAGAGCAACTCCTTCCCAAAGAAACGTTCTCATCTAGAAAAGGAAACCGGTCATGCAACCCAGGTCTGCATAAGCCGCCCTTGGTGGGCTTACCAGTGGGATTGGGATCGAGGCAGAGGGTTCTAGATAAACTTGGCTTACCACTGACAGTGATGCCCTGGGCTCTCCGCTTCCTTAGATTTCACCTTGACTTCTTATTCCTGGGCTTGGCAGAGGCAGCGTGTGGAAGTGGTGACAAAGCAGTTTACCTATAGAGTCACATCCAGGTCTGTTGGTGACAGCGTTCAGGCAAGGGAAAACTGAAGTTTGCTGTCGGGTTAGGAAAAAGAAAAAGAAGGAAAAGAAGTCAGGTGAACCGGTGCTCTGCTCCTGCAGCAGCTGTGGGAACTTGCCGGATCATTGCATCTCTTCAGCTCTACTTACCTGGTCTGTAAAATGGGTTTTCCCAGAGCTTCACAAGATGCCAGTGCAGAAGCCCTGGCACACACTGCGGCTGGCACCTGATACATTGTAGTTCAAAGGTATCTGTCAGGCCTGCCGATAACTCTGCTGACTTAGGGAGGGGGTGTCATTGTCTCCCCTTTACAGAGGGCAGAGCAGGACACTGAGATGAGGAAGAACACCAACTCCTTCCCAGGCCTGGGTTCCAGTCCCACCCCTGCCCCCTTAGCTCTGCAACTTCAGGTTACTTAACCCCTCCCAGTCTCAGTTTCCTCATCTATAAAATGGGCAGGAATGCTACCTACCTCACAGGCAGCTGTGGAGATGACATAAGCCAACCCAAAGCTCCTGGCACATAGTAGGTGCTCAGTGAGGACTACTCCAGCTGAATGGAAACCAGAAGCCTTTGCCCCAAGCTGCTCCCCTCCAATATTCCCTCTAGTCCCCAGCGGGGCCACAGCCTTTGCAAGCAGTCAGACCAGGTGGCCAGGGGCCCTGGAGCCCATGAGTGGCTCTGCCCCAGCGGCTGGTCTCCAATCTTGCCGCAAACACCACCATAGACCCCTCCTGGAACGTTCTGCCTGAGTCTCCGGGACGGGGGGTGGCCAGCACCGGTGGCTCCCTTGGCACTGACGGCAGGAAGAGTGCGGTGGTCTCATACCTGAAGGGGGTTTGGAGAAATGAGGACAGTCAGGAAACGGAGGAGCTCCGAGAGGGGAAGGGCCTGCGCGGGGCCATGGGGCCGGGAGGCAGGGCTGGGGCGTGGAGGCCAGAGGGTGGCAACCCTGCGGGGAGAGGGCAGGGGAGGCCCCAGTACCTGCCCTGGCGGGGCCTCCCTGCAGCTCCCCGGGAAGCAGCAACGGGTTAAAGGGGAGCCGGAAAGGAGAGGAAAAAGCAAACAGGAGAAGGCCTGAGCGGCTTGCTGGGGTGCTTGGTCGGGCCCAGCCACCTCCCGGGCCCCTCCCAGTGGCCCGCCACATGCATTTGCGTGTGCGTGCACACACAACACACATGCATACAGAGAGATAGAGACACATAGCTGCACACACACGGACAGACACACAAACACATGCAGACAGATACACATATTACACATGGACAGACATACATAGAGACATACATACACACAAATACACACAGATATACACAGAAACACATAGAGATACACAGACACGCACAAAAGGTATACACACAGACACGTGCATACGCAGAGACATAGACATACACAAACATACACACAGACACAGACACAAACACACAGGCATATAGACACACACACACTCAGAGAGATATGCATATATACACATGGACAGATATGCACAGAGACAAACATACACACAGATATACACATATTTACCCAGAGACATACATATACATACACACAGTCACATAGACGCACACAGAGGAACACAGACAGGTATACACACAGACATATATATACACCTACATACAAAGAGACACACAGACACACAGACACACAGAGAAGACATATATGCACACAGACGTAGACACAGATAGAGAACAGACACATAGATGCACACAGATACACACAGACACACAGAGACTCATACAGACACACAGATGCGCACACACGGATGCACGCATATACACACAAACATACGCAGACACGGACACACGCGCACGTGCACAGACACGCAGCAGGGAAGCCCCACGCTGGAGGCAGGCGCTGGGATGGAGGGTCTCTGAAGCTTCTTCGATCTCAACCTCCTCCCTCCCCCCTGCCCCAACCACCCGCACTAGCTGGACGCCTCACTGTGACAATAACGCCACCTGCCACGTTTGGAGCACTCACCGTGGGCCAGGCTGTGGGCCAGGCTGTGGGACAGGCTCTTTACTTCCGTTAACTTGTTTGATCCTCACAAGCCCCCTGTGAGGTGGGTGCTGTGATCAGCCTTGGTTTGCAGATGAGGAAACGGAGGCTCAGAGAGGAGCAGCAACCCGCCCTGGGTCACGCAGCGTGTGCAGTGGCTACTCCAAAGCAGGCCCCAGGAGCAGGCCCACTGGCTGGCCGCCGCCCGCACTGCCTGTGAGGCCACCTCCACCACTGCCAGGCCAAGCAAAGCAGCAACATGACTTTGCCTTTTCGCAGGCCCAGGGAGGGGAAGTGACCTGCCACGGCCACAGGGAGCGGGAGCAGGGCCGGCGTCCGAGCGCGTGCTGGGCCGTGGCTGCAGTGAGGAGCAGAGGCGGGGCTGGGGCTGGCCGGCCTGCCAGCGCTGCAGGGTTCAGCTGGGCACCCTCCAGCCTCCTCTTCCAGCACCTCTGTCCCTCAGACCTCACCTGTCCTGTCTCTCGCACCCTCACGCCGTTCCTCCACCAGCCGTTGCCTCAACCAGTGTATCCTGAACTTTTAAAATAATAGTTCTGGGTCGGCCAGGCGCGGTGGCTCACGCCTGTAATCCTAGCTCTCTGGGAGGCTGAGGCGGGCGGATCATTTGAGCTCAGGAGTTCGAAACCAGCCCGAGCAAGAGTGAGACCCCGTCTCTACTATAAATAGAAAGAAATTAACTGGCCAACTAATATATATAGAAAAAATTAGCCGGGCATGGTGGCGCATGCCTGTAGTCCCAGCTACTCGGGAGGCTGAGGCAGCAGGATCGCTTGAGCCCAGGAGTTTGAGGTTGCTGTGAGCTAGGCTGACGTCACAGCACTCACTCTAGGTTTGGGCAACAAAGTGAGACTCTGTCTCAAAAAAAAAATTCTGGGTTATTGTTGACAAAACCTATTTCCCTCCTGTTAATTTTGTTTCATCCCGTGTGTGTGGTAGGAGGAGAGTTATTATCTTCTTTCGATAGATTGCATCTTGGCTCTGCCCCTTACCAAGAGTCCTTGCCAGCTGGGGACCAAACTAATTTAGATAATCCCAGGTCCTCCACTGGGCTCAAAATATCAACTGCACAGGGACAGGATGCGGCCATATGGCACACAAGTAGCAGTTGTATAGTGATGCCTTTGTGGACCACAAGCATAGTAAGATCCAACAGGGACGCAGCTGTTGGAAAAAAAAAAAAAGGCTAATCTGATGTAAGGCTGCATTAATAAAGGTAGAATGCCCAGAATGAGGGAGGTGATGGCCTTGCCATGCTCTCTGTTAGCCTCAACCCCCACCTTCTAGTACCCCCAGGTAGGACCGGGACATCAGACAGTGGGGATCCACAGACTTATCAGAGCTGGAGGAAGCCTTGGCAAGCATCTTGTCCAACTCCTTCACTCTATGGAGGGGTAAACTGAGGCAAGTGAGGATGGTTTGCCTGAAGTCAGTGGGCTCATAGGAGGTGGCAGATCAGAACTCTGGCTTGAACCCGGGGCTCCAACCCTAAACTCCTGCCTCCCCAGTCCGCCAGGTCACGGATGGACTGAAAACCTGATTCCCCCAGTCAGAGAAGGCTCTTGCCCAGAACCCATAGTGTTTCTTATTGGAGATTCTGTTCAGTGTGCATTTATTGGGCACCTACTGGATGCCAGGCATTACAGAGGACCCTAGGCAATGGCTGCCACATTAGAGCAGGGGGTGACAGTCTCCTCCCGCCCTGTCACCTTCAGAGCACTTTCCATTGTCTGAAATAACCTGGCATTTTTATTCGTCTCCCTGCCCCATTCTGCCCCACTCTCAACACTTCCAAGTGCAGGAGAGTGTCTTGTCCCCCTCGCTCCCAGCTTCCACAGCTGTCCTGGCTGGCAGTGTGCGTTCAAAACTACTTGCTGAACAAGTGAATGACAAACAAAACTGACACAGCCCAGCCCTCTGCGGCCGCCCAGCAACCCGCCCTTCCCGGGCCCATCCACGTGCCTGGCGTGGTGTCCAGTGCTTCTCCCATGTCATCTCACGGCCATGCCTCGGAGCAGGTGCTACCCTTGGCCCTGTGTGACAGATGGGGAAATTGAGGCTAAGCAGTTAGGTAGCTCCTCACGGCCTTTGCCACCTCCCACTTTGTGTCTCCTTCCCCTGTCCATGCCAGATCCACTGAAGGCAGGAGCCACATCTGCTTTCCCTCTGTCCCCCCCACAGTGTCCTGCACGACGTGGGCCTGGGGGGCCCCTGTGAGTGTTTGTGACCTTCCCTTGGATCGAGTGGGAACTGGGGAAGGGAAAAGAGTGCACGGTGGGTGAGGGAGGATCCGTGGAGAACACCAAGCAAGGGACAGATGGCAGTAAGACCTAGCGCCCATGCTGACAGCCATCGCCAAAGACCATTCCACCCAATGCCTCCCTCACTCACATTCAGGTTTTGGACTCCCTCCAGGGAAGCCTGCTGAGGAGTTTCCCAGGCTCTGCTTGTTCACCACCAGTGACAGGGAGCTCAGCACACATATCGAGAGGCATGTGGTAATGCAAGGAAATCACTTAGCCCAGTGCCAAAGGGTGTTGGGGTAGCTGATCTTTACTAAGCAGTTTCTCTGGACCAGGCCCACATAAACCCACGCCACCGCCATCAGAGGTAGACGCGACTACTGTCCCAGTATTACAGATAAGGAAACTGAGGGACAGAGAGTTACATAGCTTGTGCAAGGTCTCACGGCTGGCAAGGGGCAGCATGCAGGAATCCTGCGAGGCCTGGGAGCGCGGCAGTGGAGAGCATGCCCTCCTGACCGCTACGCCAGCGCTGTCGAAATGTAACGCGAGCACATGTGTAATTTTAAATTTTCTAGCAGCTACACTAAAAAAGTAAAAGGAAACAGGTGGAAAAAAGAAACCCGTGAAATCAATTTTAATAATGCATTTATTTAAACTCCAAATAGCATCATGTTAATATGTAATAAATGTAAAAGAAAGTTTTGCTAAAGAGACATCTTTTTTTTGGGGGGGGCACTAAGTCTTGGAAATCTGGTGTGTATTCTCTGTTTATAGCACATCTCAGCTTAGGCTAACCACGTTTCAAGTGCTTTGGTAGTGCATGTGGCTGGTGGCTGCCATGCTGGACAGCATGGTCCTATACTATGCTGCCTGTCAAGGTGCTTACTAGGGTATATCCTGGTGCATAAGGAAGAATCAATAAATGTCAGCCCCTAGTATGATTATTTTTGTCACTGGTTGTTGTTGTTGGTCCAAGGAGAAGCCCTTGGCATAAGCTTGCACTGATGTCGCTATTCTTAATCCGGTTCCTCCAAGTTGGCTGAGCCAACTTCATGAACCTTTGGCCTGTGGGTCCAGAAGAGCCCCCCACTCTAGGAGGGGAGGGGAGGCCAGGCTGAAGCCCCTCCACGTCCCTGGCTGGCCAGCTGGGTACCACATGAAGTGAGGCCTCCTTGGGGTCTCAAAGCCCGTGGCCCATCTGCTCCGCAGCGTGGGCGGCCAGGCCCACATCTGCACGGGAGAGGGAGGCCGCCCCTTCTGGGGTTCCTGCATTCTTTAGGCTGGTGAGACCTTTAAACAGAGAAACGAACAAACAAAACCCACCGTTCTCCTTCTCTTCCCACAAGTTTACTTTCAAACTTTATTGATTTCCTCCTTCTCTTGAAATTAACTCCTTTCTCGGTCCGCGTTTTGTCCTTTGCAGGTACATAGCAGAGTCTGCACCCAACTTCCATAAAGAATGTGCTCTCTTAATAATAGGGAATATTTTTTGAATACTAACTAGGTACCAGGCTCTATTCTCTGCTTATATGCATGGCCTCATCCAGTCATTGCAACCCTGTTAGATAATTTCTTTTAATGTCTTGATGAATTGAATATTTGAGGCTGAGTCAGGGTTTGAACTCAGGCAGGTCCAGGCCAGAGCTCATAACTGTACCATTTTTCTTACTTTGCCGTTTCTTTTTCTTTTTTTCCCTTCTCAGATCTAGATATCCCTTCCTGCCAGTATTAATACAAATTCTTTTTTTATGAAACCCTGTGAGTTAAAAAATGGAGCAGGGGCCGAGCATGGTGGCTCACTCTGGGAGTAATCCTACCACTCTGGGAGGCCAAGACAGGGAGGATTGCTTGAGCTCAGGAATTCCAGACCAGCCTGAGCAACAGCAAGACCCTGTCTCTACAAAAAATAGAAAAATTAGGTGGGCATGGTGGCGCACCTGTAGTCCCAGCTACTACTCAGGAGGCTGAGGCAGGAACATCACTTGAGCCCAGGATTTTGAGGTTGCAGTGAGCTATGATGACGCCACTGCACTGTAGCGGGGGGGGGGGGTGTGCAGAGCAAGACCCTGTCTCAAAAAAAAAAAAAAAAGGAGCAGGAATGAGGGGTCTGCACTGCCCACATCCCTGTCCGGTTGCTGGACAGCTACATAGTGCTTGCAAAGAGCCAGTGCTTCCCAAACCCACCTGCACACAGGAATCGCGTGGGAAGCTTCAAAATATAGTGATCCCGGGTCCTCCCTGCAGAGGTTGTGATGTGATTCACCTGGGGTGTGGCTGGGTCTCTGGAGCATGTAACAATCTTCAGGTGATTGTAATGTGGGCCAAGTTTGGGACCCATGGTGCTAACCAGGAGAGGCACAGGCTCACGTAGCCCTCCCAGCAGCTATGATGCAGGTGTGGCTAGGGCTTGCAGATGAAAAAACAGAGGCTCACAGAAGTAAAGTAACTGGCTCAAGTTCAGACAGCCAGGAAACGGGCACGGTGGGAATTCAGTAGCCACGGTTTTAACCACTGGTGTGCTGATCAACGTTTAACTGGCTCCTGGGGTTGGGCAGGGAGCCTTGATCTGTAGCGTTCTGCCTGTTTCCATGGTGTTGCTGCTCCACCATGGCCCATTTCAAGCCCCCAGCTTGAGATCCCTGAGTGCAGAGCTGGGGAAGGGTGTGCACATTGGCTGAGTCATTATGGCTGACATTAGCCCATGGCTGGCCCAGCTGGCATGGTGAAGAGGGGGTCCTATTGGGTGGGAGGTAGATATGATTAGGAATTTTCTGGATCTTCAGTCCCAGAACCCTTTCTCCAATGAAATATTTGAGAATCCCAACTCATGCAAAAGATAAAAAGCAACATGACTGGGCACGGTGGCTCGTGCCTGTAATCCCAGCACTTTGGGAGCCTGAGATTGGGAGGACTGCTTGAAACCAGGAGTTCAAGACCAACCTGGGCAACATAGCAATACCCTGTCTCTACAAAAAATAAGAAAAATTAGCCAGGTGTGGTGGTGTGCACCTGTAGTCCTTGCTACTTGGGAGGCTGAGGCGAGAGGATCTCTTGAGCCCAGGAGTTTGAGGCTGTGGTAAGCT